CGGAGTGGAGGAAGCCACTTGGGAACGTGAATTGGAAGTCCGCCAGAAATATCCGGACATGTTTGTTGATTTGTAATCTTATAATTAGATTCTGTTATATTGTTGAACTTAAGAGCTTTATATATGTCTTATAGTTCACTGTTGTAAGTTTGGCCAGGTTCTGAGCCATATTGATAATGTTGGAAAGTGAAACGTGTCGTTGACAATAGTGTCATGAGATTGGATAATGATGTAATTGATTATCTTGGTTAACCATCTATTGAATGCTATTGCTTTATTCAATGCTTATATTTGGTTTAGTATTTTTCTACTGGGCTGTGGCTCACCCTTTATGGGAACATCATTTTCAGGTCCAGGTGATAAGCTACCTCCAAGGACTTAGCTTGGAAGGATTTGGATTTTGAAGACTATCTTTAGTTATTTGTTTTTATTTGATAAACATTCAAGCCTAGGGCTTTATTTGTATTTGAGTTAGAACTCATATTTTTGTGTCCAAGTGTTGGCTTGGAAAGATGTAAGCCCATAGGGCATTTAATTTGATAGTATATGTAATGTTTTTTTTTTTGTAATACTCTGATGAATGAGATATGAATTGGTTTCTTTTAATATTGCATGCCAATGATATATATATAATGGGTTTATTTTGAGGGCGTGACAGTGTGGATGCTCTGTCTGTCACTAAATAAAAGTTTCTCTAAAATTCTTACATTTAACATTTCTAACTAGATAATTCTTCATAAATCAATGTTAAAAATTACCCAAATCGATCTTGATATCTCAACTATTAGTAAACACGACACACAAACTTTATGAGTAGTTGCATACAGAAAAGATAAATTCATGAACTATAGTTGAGATCAAGCACCATTGGTTCATCTAGTATGATATGTCATCCGTTACCGAAATGATTATCATTATTCATACCATGCATACAGAAAAGGTAAATTCATGAACTATAGTTGAGATCAAGAACCGCTGGTTCATCTAGTATGATATGTCATCCATTACCGAAATGATTATCATTTAGTATTCATACCATATTCTTAGCAAAATTCTAAGAAATTAAACTTCCCCAACAATTGGCACATTATCGTGAAAAAGGATTTATTAAATCAAGTAATCATTGGATGTTCATTTGGTTCAAATAAATTAGTCACCGAAAACACAGAACACAACCTTTGCAGCCCATTGCCAAGAGAAATGCTAATTACTCCACTTGAAACCAACTACCACTAGCACAGTTCAAGCAAACAATGCAATAACACCATCTATTTAGAAATGTGCAAATTCTATTCCATCAAAAAAACAAAATACCATAATAAAGTAATGAACTAAACAATCAACAAGGGTAACAAACCACACCAAAATCAAGATATTAGCATCCAAAAGAGGTCCTCGAAGAACGTCAATCGCATGTATTTAACTAGAAAAGGTATTCAGCAAACCTAAGACAAGCTTCAAACGTGTCAAGCATAACTGTTTGCATGAAGTATGCAAGTTGTTCAACTAGACTCTCCTCAGGTCTATCATCTACCCATTCCCAATAACATTTCACCGTTCTTTCTCAAGCCAAGCGTCAATACCAATCTTCCATCAAGATCAATTGTATATTGCTTACTCCAAGACCCCACCACCCTATATTCTTTCATAAACCACACGGTACAATTCTTACTGTATATCAGCGAATCATACTGTAGCACTGAAAGCGATTCACCCACTATAGCAGTCAATGTGTTCCTAAGAAACTGATGAACCAGATTCAGTGGCAACTCAATCTCCCCAAAGACTTCATTACCCAAATCAAAAAACAGAGCAAAACAACCACGAGTAACTGGGTTAACAAGCTTATAATAAACCCAATGAACTTCCCCATTCAAATAAACTTATGACCAAAAGTAATTAACTATGCCAAAACGCGGCACAACACCATCAAAATCACTCCAAAAACCATCGCTGAGGCATAAATTTTGACTTCAAGAGGAACCCTAAACCCATTTTCCGATCCCAAATACGAAATCCTCACAACCATGAAGTCATTTTTAATCAAATCAAGGCCAAATCCATGAACACACATAAAAGGGAAGTTGATTCATAACAGGATAAGAAAATACATTCAATTGCATGAAATTTCATACCTTTGGTGGATGAGAAGATCTTTCCACAATTTGTTTCAGAAAATGGGGTTTAGGCTTTGACCCATCTGGTGAATCTACGAGGGAAGATTGGTCAGTTATAAATTTTTCCTGTATTGAATTAATTCAATTTCAATTTCATAGAATACTTCAAAGCAATCAACATTGAGACAAACCTCCAAGCAAAAAGGAAGAAACATCTCCCCCTTTCATTTCAACAATGTCCGACCACTTAGTTTGAAGTAGGTTGAACGCTAAAGCTGCAGGAGTGGATAATTCCTCTTGAGCAAGTTCAATGGGTACCAGATCCTCCCTCGAAACCCCCTAACATATTTGTTTTCATGGTGTTGAGCCTAGCCCGCAGGTCCTCAATAGCCTGAGATTGAGAAATTACCACATCCGAACCGCGATTTGAAACCCTACCTCTAGTTGAATCTCACTCATCAAGACCAAGAGCATCCATCGCAACAATTTTTGATCGAAGGCCCTCTATAGAAGCAGCGAACAACCTAGAACTAGGGCTAAGACTCCCTTCACCCCCCCAATCGCCAATCTGTTAATACTAATCGAAGGAACCTCCTCAGAGGAACTTACCGATTCCCCTTACTTTAAGCTCAACCCGATTCCGTTTGCCCTAAACCCAATAAAGCTGGTGATTTCGAATCCCTAACTACATCCTTAGCCCTAGACAAAACCCCTTTAGTAAACTGTGGAGACTCCATCGACATCGATGAGCTATTGAAACCCTAGAATTTTAGGAATTCCAAAGAGATGGAAAAGCTTCTCTCACTAACGCTGGTGTTCTTTGTTCTTCCTTTATGATTAAAGCCATTAGGTATAGATTGATGCTAAGAGTCAGGACTTTTGATTATTTTATTTATTTATTTATTTTTAGTGTTTGGCGCTTGAAATTTTTATTTTGGCGCTATTTTTTTTTTCTGTCGTACCTTTCATAACAGCGATTGCATGTCGTAGAAAGTACAATATTTTTAATGGCTAACTTTTTGTGCGTCGTGGAAAGTGAAATTTTTAACGGCTAGCTTTTTGTGCGTCATGAAATGTTCAATATTTTTAACAGCTGGTATAGGCGTGTCGTGTATAGTTGATATATTAACGGCATACCATATGCACGCCATAGAAAGTTTTATTATTTACGACTAACATTGCAAACCGTAAAAAAATCATTGTTATTAGCATTCACAACCTAGGCAATAGATATGTCGTGGTTGAAAAATTATTTACGACATGCAAAAAAAGCAAGCCATAAAAGTGAGAAACCACGGCTTGCATTTACTGCATGTCGTTTGTGACACCCGAATGTTTTAAATTTAACATTTCAATAAATAGACTTAGAAATTAATAAAAAAAATAATGAATAATAATAATAATAATAAATAAATAATAATAAATAAATGCATAATTTAGGAAATTGAGAATTTTATGGTTAAAGAAATACGTCGTGAAACACTACACATTAAATATTTTAGTAAGTGGTACGTGGTGATTTATAGTTAGATAGTGAGGTTTTTAGACGTGAACCTAACTTATCATTATACGTAATTTGTAGGAATCATTGTGGATAACCAAAGAGGATAGTAACCCTTTAAACTTATAACTCAAATTCTCAAGACTTGGGTTGGTTCTCAAGACTTGCGTTAGTACAGGATAAGGGTTGAACAAGGAATAAGGCCCTTGAATTAAGATCAGAGTCAAAGTATATGAGTCAAAGTAAAAGTAAATCAGAGGAGAATTGAGAGATGTTGCCACGTATACGGCTAATTGCTTGGGCCTCGCACCTTATTAAGTATAAATAGAGAAGTGAAATTCGTTACTGAAGCACAGAAAAAAGGTGAGCGTAGGAAACGTAACAAGTGAGGCTCTGAAGTGCAAGGAAAATAGCGATAAATTTATACTAGAGGTGAGTTATATTATACCTTGGGTTATCAAAATATATTTTACTGATGTTTTGACTTACTAAAATCTATTTTGTACTAGTTATATTTTATTGGTATATTAATAAAAGTTATGTTTTATAAAAGTTTCAGTTACGTGGTTTATTTTCTGAACCCTATTCGTTTTAAAGGAAACCCATGGATATGTTTGTTTTACTTTTAAAGAATATTTGGCTATGACCTTATATGAAAATATGTTTTGTGAGTACCACCACGAGAGTCCCATGCCTTGGAGACTTAAATAACCATTGGCTAGTGTTTGACCACTTCGTGGTCCAGTGTTTGTCGTTGATCCATTGACCAGTGTAGTGCTTGTCACTTAGTGATGTACTGTGGTTACAGTAATTATTTCAGTTTCTGGCACTTAATTAATTTGTGTATTCAACTCAACTAAATTTATAATGTTTTAGCTTAAATAAATATCCATGGCCATTTTGTGCCCCTCATAGTATAATATTTCTCACTCTGCTATGTGCTTATAGCTGTTATCCCTTTTAGGTGACAAGGTTTAGCAGGATCAAGATGGAAAATGAATCGCTATGTTATTTTGTTTTTTAAGATTTCTATCTTTTATTATTAAACTCTTGTAATACAATGAAGCTCAAATGACTATATTTTATTTCCTTTTAAATAAACAGTTGGCACCCAGTTATTTATTTTAATTTATTTAATTTATCCGCTTGCGCTGTGACTACAGAATTATCTGAATTATTTTATTTTTATCTTGTTATGACGCTGAGCCTTTGGGTACCAGGTTTGGGTCGTGACATCGTTGATGTGAAGCCATAAAAACTCAGTTTTGTTGTAGTGTAAGTTTCATATAATTTAAAATTTTCTTTAGTTTTAGTCTACATTTTAATAGGTATTTAAATTTTTAAGTAATATCAATTAAGGCAAATGAAATTAATTGATTATCACTTAATACATTCAATTTTAAGTACTGAATAAGTTATCAAACACCCTCATACTCTTGATAAACAAAAAAATAAAAAATAAAATCTACGCTTACTCTCCCTAAAGCCACGTTTATTTGGTTTCATAGAATGAAAGAGCTTAAGAGTACGATGGGATTAAATGAGAAGATTATTAGTGTGGTGGTATTAAATTTGAGAGGTAAGATGAAGAGTGTTTGTTTGTACATGACCGGATTAATAATACTATAGATAGTATTAATATATAAAATTAATATATTTTAAATTTTTAGTATTATAATTTTTTTTTGTTATAAAAAATATAATTTTTGCTTAAAAATCATTTAAAAATTCACCAATCCCCTCACTCACTTTACAATATCAAGGGTGAATTACACCAATAGTTCCTATAATTTGCGATTTTTATCACTTTGATCTCTGACTTTTCAATTGTGATATATTTGACCCTGAATTTTGAGAAGTGTTCCAAATAAAGACAATTGAAGATACTATTGGATTTTTCAAGGGCAAATTCATCAATTTGATAAAATATAAACTAATTTAACAAAAATAAATGTCAAAAATTTATTTTTGAATTTTTTAAAATTATTTCTACCTACTAGAGATAAAATTATATAAAATTGATAAATCTTTTAGACATTTATTTTTTTACCAAATTAATTTTTATTATATATTTGGATGATGGTCATGTAAAATTAATTTTTTAAAATTAATTATGTAAGTTTTATTAATTTTTATCAATTTTACATAATTTTATCTTTGGTGGATAGAAATAATTTTTAAAATATTTTTTTACATTTATTTTTATCAAATTAGTTTATATTTTATCAAATTGATGATTTTGCCCTTGAAATTAAGCAATGGAATGTTCAATTATCCTTATTTGAAACAATATTCAAAATTCAAGTTTAAATGTATCTCAATTGAAAAGTCAGAAATTAAAGTGACACGAGCTCCAAACTATAGGGACTATTAACGTAATTTGCCCTAATTTCAATCCTCCTATATCTTTGTTAGCCTTACCACAAGAGTGGATTACTAATCCAAGAGAATAGTTAATTTTCTTACTCATATCCTCAACTAAATACACTTTAAATAAGTCTCACGTATCATTAGTTTAATCCCTTTTTTTCAAAGAGTGAAACAAACATGAGTAAGACATTCTCAATACCACAAACACAAATAACCTCATATTATTATCAAACAAAGACACTGCTGGGGGTGCGAAAATCCTGAATTTTTTAGGGGCTCTTTCTTAAGATCTCGCGCTGTACTTCGATCGCACTTAGTCAGGGCTGGGGCGGTTGATGAGCTCCACTGGTGTCTTGGTGGTAGGTCCCTTCCTATGAGTTGGGTTAAATCAGGCCGACAACCGACTATCCCGGGGCCTGAGCCTGCGAAGGTTGTAATGTCCCCACATAATCTCCTTTTTTTGTGTTAAAAAATAAATAAATAAATAAAAAAGCTGCAGTTCCCGGCTAGCGACATGCATGTTCGCAAATAATCTCAAAATTATTAACAAATAAAGAAACCGTCGCAATTCTCCGCCAGTGACATGCATATTCACAAGGAAAATTTACCCATAAGTCCTAGTTTTTGAAACGTTGAACCATTTAGTCCTAAAAGTTTTCTTATGCTCCATTTAGTCCCATTTTTACATCAACATGATGTGAATGATGTAAATGATCTGATGTTTCATTCTATAATTTCAAAATTTATTGAAATCTGATGAACATTAGATGTTTTTCATCCTATATTTTCAAACATTATTGAAATTTGATGAACATTAGATGTTTGAAATCTAATGTTTGTAACATGACTCTGATGTTATTAACATTGTATCTGATGTTATTAACATTGTAATGGGACCTTTCAGTCTATAAGAAAACTTTTAGGACTAAACAGTGCATAAGTTATTAATTTGGGATTTATTGGTACATCCCCCTTTTCACAAATAACCTCAAATTATTAACAAATAAAGACACCGCCGCAATTCACCCGCCAGCGACATACATAGTCACAAATATTCTCAAATTATTGACAAGGGTAAATTATATTGACACCCATTCAGATTTTGTCCAATTACTATTTATTTGCTAATGTTTTAAAAATTATATTTTTACCTTTGTATTTAATAATCTCATTTTATAAACCCTTTTATTTATGTAAAAGATAACAATTCTTAATAATAAAAAAAAAGAGGAAATTACATTAAAAAAAAAAGTAAAGGAAAAAAAAAAGTAAAGGAAAGCAAAAAAAGAGAGAGTACATGAGTTCGATGTCTTCATTCCGTCTAAATAATTACAATGACATAAATGTTAGTATAATTTTTTAAATATCAAAGATGATTATATTAAATCCAAATCTCAAAAGGTGTAAGTGTAATTTACCATATTAACAAAAAAAAGACACTGCCGCCATTCCCTGCCAGGGCCGTGCATATTCTTATTCAATGGTGAAGTAAGAAAATTGATTTAGGAACATCGCAACACCCATTAGTTACGACATTGAAATTTTATTTCCGTAATTAACAATAACATAAATGCTTGAGACCACTAAAAGTGGTGCTCTAAAAGCACCACTAGTGATGTGGCAGTGAACGGGACCCACTGCTTGTATCTTGTATTTTTATTTTTTTTTTAGTGAAAGTGTTTGCCAACTCATTAGTGGTGCTTTAGAGTACCACTTTTAGTGGGATGTATCATTACCCATAATATTTTTGTAAATTTATATTATAAACTTAAATATTTATTACAATATTTTAAAGAGAAAATATCATTTTTCTCTTAAATTATCACGCGTTTTTCACGTTGACCCCTATACTTCGATTTATTTCAATTTAGTACCTGAACTTTTCACAAATTGATCAATTAGATCATTACCGTTACCTTCCGTCCACAATTAGACGGAATGTACTGATGTGGGAGAC